TATATATATATATATATATATATATATATATATATATATACCCAAATGAGAGTATTCGAGGTCTGTGAGGTGCTGAAGGTGGTGTATCACGCAAGGCCTTTAGGACGACCTAGACGCAGATGAATAAGTTATATGGACAGACATGCATAGAAACATTGTTTGTCATCAGCCGGCATAAGCATAATGGCAACAAATGGCACCAGCACCGGATCTTTATCAACAGGGCGTTACTACTCTCTGTCAATTCTTTCAAGTTCAGTAGGGTATCGGATAGGATACCTGGATAAATCACCATCGAAGTGCAGAGACCTCATTACTACGCCATTAAGCAGAGAACAGGTAATCAGGCGGCAAATCAGTAGTCGAATGACGGACTGCACTGTTGTCTTGAAGTATGTGAGCAGAGAAGGATGAGTACTGATTAGATATTGGAGCAGAATGTAAGTTGACAAGTGTTGACTAAAAGTGGTGGGAATTTCTTGGGTAAATGACTGGTGCTTGCCGGGGCTGGTTATAATGGACACGCTGCTGAGTGGATAGTCCGATTCAGACGAGGTTTACGCATCGTCCCGATGAATCAATAGTATTGCTTAGCGAGCAAGCTGAAATGATCACAACTGACCGCCTATATCGTTGGATGTTAACCCATCTCACTTTTTTCTGGGCGGGCCTAATCTTGTGCATTCACATGTATCCTTCTATTGCACACCGAGGACTGAGTTTGGGCCAGTGCGGTTTTCACTAGTTATACCACTAAAAATCCTCAAGTGGTCTAAAAGTAGTCTACCGGAGATTTTACGGAGTTTTAAGCGAGACTTACTGTGAAATTTCCTCTCTCAAAAGAAGCCCAAGACACTTATCTTTATATTCCAAAAGGGGCATTCTAATCGATTCAGTGTGACATCTTAGAATGGTCTAGAGCGCTATAACACGCAGAAGTCTACCCCTTAATAGAGCTTAACTCAGGTCTATAGTGTATTTATTATCTTTATGACTAGCGTATTACACTGTACAAGTAACACTAACCTTGGTATCCTCTGGGAATAAACTGTTCCACCCAGCAAGATACAGGTTTTAATTTTTCCTAAATAGATGCGTCAGGTAGGAGCAAAACTATCTGAGATACATACAGCTTGCTTCCGACTTTGTTTGAGGTTTTCAACCATGATTTTCAGACCCATAAACCATACGTACCACATAATCCCAAGAATACATTATCACCCCGAAGATGGCAAAATAACATCAGACATCCCTTAAAGCTAAGCAGATGGATCAAAGTCCTTTTGGGTAGTCGATAAGGATGTAAAAACGAGAGGTTGGAGTTCATATGAGAAGTTACCTACCTAATACGCTCATACTTCTCAAAGGAAACTTGCTGTGTTTTTTAACGCCGCTACTTCAGTCCCAAAATTCAGCTGAATTATTCCCTAGGGCCCAATGTACGATTCCATTCTTTTACGAAGTTCATTAGTTTGCTCTGGAATCACATGCGGTGATCGATACTGCTAGTCTAAAAAAGGTGCAAGTTCGTGCTTCGAAATTTCTACTTGGTATTGAGGTATTTCAGTCATCCTTCTAATGAATATGACTCTCAATCTTGATTGTAATATATTCGAATGCAACAGCAAATATTACAACTCCTTCAGAGACTGGCAGGAGATCGGTCAACTTCTCAATGTACTTGTCGGTTTGAGAGACAACCAGGAATTTCTCTGCCTTTACAAACTAAGTTCTTACTACAAACCCGCTAGCGTATTAGATGATTTCATTCAGCAGAAAAGACTCATGTGAACTTTGCTTTTTACTGGAAGCGACGAGGCCAGAAATCACGATGTATCTTCTGACCACAATTATGTGATTTGTGTGCTGAATGGCACGCTTGTTTTGAGTACGGACCAACTGTACCAGGCCTGGTAATCAAAATAAATTATTATGGTGTGCGACAGCCGAACCAATCTTACATTTAGCCATGACCCATCATTTTGGTTAGTTGAAGGCAGTACTGGACGTAAACGGCTAAAAATGATAAATAATTTTGCTCTACTTCAAGTTTTCTCGAATCTTTCTGTTTACGGACGAGAATCATGAATAGTGTCGTTAGTGCTGAAGGTAGATAAAAATGACACCAATGGAGCCGTCCGTTAAATTTTCATGACGACTTCAACCCCGGTAATTTCCCGAGGGGCCAGAATTTGGCCCGGTTCCTTGGAAAATGATTAAAAAATCGATTTGGAGCAAACGTTTTGTTGAACTGTTCTCCGCTGGCATTCTTTGTTAATCTAAAGGAAATAAAAAGCGCATCTTGTCACGATTAAATACATAAATACAAAAGAAAAGCTCAGGGAAATTTTCGCACGAAGAAATTTATCTTTGAATACTGTGATTATGATGCACGTCTCACTTGATATGAAGCAAACCTCTTCGGCAAAGACGAATCCGAAAAAACGCGAAATGTACCCGCAACAATGCTATTCCGCTCACAGCAGGACGGTACTATTTTCTCAATTACCGCACCGAATTGAACACTACTGGTTTCCATAGAGCTTTTGTTTAGTTTCTGGGAAACGCTCACGTTACCTACAAAAATTAACTTTCTCAACAAGCTTTTGTGCATGTAAATTAATTTTAGACTACAAGGCGATCCGGAAATTTCATTAGGGCCTTCGTTCCCTAGGCCACGTAAATCCTTCCTGAGAAGGTAGTTACTAGGCTATTGTTGCAACTTATCGTTATTACCTATTTTGAGTCTATGAGAGTATTAGGATCTACCGGCTTGTCGTTCGTAAGGGAACACCATACCATTCGGCGTTGGCCGAGCAGCAAAACCCACATGCAGGATCCGTTGCCATTTATCCTTCACCTAAGTTTTCGCATCATGTGTATGAGCGATATACGCACTATACATTAGTTCTCTTGTAGTTGAAGCAATTATACGGTGCTTCTCGGCTTTTCGGAACACACAGACTTCACTTCCAACGCAGCTGAAAGTGGAATGGCAAAAAATTCAACATGATTTACGTTTTGCTTCAGATAAACGGCTGAAAATTGCAAGCTGTGGAGCTGTAAAAATGATTTTGTTTTCGTAACCTAACCCTTTACCACAGCAATTCGCTCATTTAAAAGAGTTTGAAGACCGGTATATGATTGGTTCTTACCGTTGGAGAAAACGAATCTATCAAAGCTTTTTCTTCTCACACAGTTACAAGAACTGAACAAACTGATCTTCGGATCCGAACCAAGAATGACCTGGTCGCGCTTGATTTATTTACTGATCAACAACCATACTGAAGAAGCATACCAAACGGTGTTCCATCCTGAACGTCATGAATTTAACGCCAACTTCGATAGAGGATCCATTCAGTTTACTACTTACATCCCCACTCTTCTTAAAGATCTTTTTGGGACGAAAACTACCGTAAGCTCCACAGCGAACCAGGTAAGCAACACAGCTCATCCATTGTGAAACCCTTTTTGAAAGTGCAGTTAGTGGCACAATCTACAAAAGTTTATCTTCCCTCATTTCAACTTTATGGTGTCTGAAGAGATGATTTAAGAAGTGTCAGGATATCTACACGATCGTTAAATGTAAACATGGATGACCCAGGTAAGCGTAAACTCCGTATGCCAAGAGCGACAAGGTGAATCATCGGCTACCTATTTATTTGTTGATAACAGTCATGGTTTGGTAGGCTAATACATGACTTGAATGGTTCAGTCAATTAGTCTAAATGTACATCCCTCAGAAAACTAGTGAATAATTAGAATGGCACATTATACGACCTTTTGACCTTTTGCTATATGCACGCACAAACTGTAGCCATCCATCTCATGTATTCAATTCTCAGTATCGACTTATAACCTGGCTCAATCGACTCTGTGTACTAGATTGCACATCATGAAGACAATGGCAGAAGTCATTAAGTGTGAAATAGCTCGTTCATTCCTGACAAAAAGCGAGTCAGAAATAGTTACCTGCAAAGGAGGGAAAGATGCGAAACCATTCAATCTAGTATGATCTAGAAACATAACTAATGTAACAAGCGAACGACGATCTATTTTAATAGTGGGAATATTAACAAAGTAAGGTTACCTCTCATTTCCTTCTGTTCAGGTACTGCTAATGTTTGTTCCAAAAGAAGGAATGAAGTCACTCATGTATTTGTACGACCAATATCAGCGGAGCTTCGACGTTCCGGCCAAGGTGATGAGTTGGATACCACCTTATGAAGGTCAGTCATAATCGGGATTTGAGTCACGTTGTAAACCCTAAAGTAGCTCACCTGTCAAGCTATTATATATTTTTCATAATTAATTCACTTTTTCTCTGATCATAAAAAGGGCATTTCCCTTCCTGAAAGGAGCAGGTTCTCAAAAGAATGTTATTGCAACGCGTCATCAGATTAAAAGATGGGCGAACTGCGAAGGTGTAAACAAACAAGTGGTTGCGCTGAATGTAAGTAATGAGTCTGCTCAAACTCGTTCGCTGAACATCTGAGGGAATTCTCTGTTATTGCTTCTCAAATTTACTGACAACTGTCTTAGATATTAGAGAGTGCAATCAAGTGAATCTTAATAACACCTAAAGGCCAGTTGCAACTGGCAGTTTTTTAACAGTTGCCGCATCCAAGGAGCCACAAACTATACCACACAGTGTAGTTGAATGCAATTTTCAACGCATTTAGCTTATTGTTGAAAGTTTGTTAATCAGCTGATACATACACCACATTAAATAACCAGCAGAAGCTGCTGAAGCATTTATTAGTAGCGATTTTGAATGTTTATCCATGTCAGTCAATCGTGCAGGGTAAAAATATCCAAGCCGTTTATTGAGTCTGGATTTTCCCCTGAAACACAATTGGTTGCAAGAAATATTTCCCTTGCATTTTTTAGTTGTTGCAGAAAATGGTCTGCTAATTTTAAAAGCAGGAATAATTTTCAATTTCCGTGCTAACAATATTCTGTGATAAGAGATGCTAGATCTAGGGAGGTAGACTGGTAATCCAGAAGGAATCGTTCACTACCATTAATAATTGTATGGACCAACAAATGGCGACTTTACAGAATGACTCTTCAGCGCTCCAAGAATCCCCTTGACAGCTCCTATTATCTGATTGATGAAAGTTAGTGCTCTGCAAACTGTCGTGACCAATGACACGAGCTACCTGTTCACATCACCGTCAACCACTTTTATACAATAAGGGTTTGTCAGAAAATTGCATTCCAGTTTCTGATAGTTGAGGACATCAATTTATTGAATACATTTCAAAAGTTAGTCAACATGGGCCTTTGCACTATAATGGATCAGGTTTGCTCCACGCAGTCTCAACAAAAAATGCAACGTACCATCAGATTTAGGAAAGTCATTTCCTTTTAAAAATATGAATATTACAGTTAAACTTCGGAGACTGATGTAAGCATATACTATAATATCATCAGTTTTATGGCCAGTAAACGAAAAAGGTGCTTTACGGTAGCATTACTCCTGGCTTTGCTGAAAATCCGTTCATCAAATACCTACTCTACGAAGATTCTAATACCGTCTGGCACATTTAGTTGAAGAACCTCATAAACATTCAGCCGGAGCTCCGTCGAACCTGCTGTTAAAACAAAATTACTTTTGCAAGGTTGAACACAGACTTTCAAAACAAATTTTATCATGTAATTAAGGATTGAGTAGGCCAGCTAAACGAAAAAAAATATGACCTCTTGAGTCAGTAAGTCCAGGATGAAAATCGTCGATCATCTATAGCCATGCATCTGTCCGCCACTGGACACCAGTTAAATCTAATCTCATTGTGTATTATCCTTTTTCACCATCAAAATTCACGCGTTCGTAGATTTGCCGATGCCACTGCAATAAATCAAATGAAAGCTTTGTCCTTTGTGAGCAGCAAATTGCTGTGAACCTTAGGGCGCCCTGGACTCAATAACTGGATAGATCTGTGATCTTACAGATCTGTAGACATGTGGAAAACTTTGTGTAACAGTTGCTGAAAATTGGCACCAGTGCTGACGAGCCAGTGTGAAATGCATCTACCGGACACTTGGTTACTGCTGTCACCCAACTATCATTAAATCTCTAGATGCTACCACGTCTTTTATTTGCCGTTTGATCGCCCAAATAACGGCTGTCAACCAGCACGTAATTCAATGCATGCCACCGGAAAACTCATAATTATATGGTAGGAAAAAGACAGTGAACGAATTTCTTTCTCTGTGATTGGTCCTTATAAATAACACACCACATATTTATACAGCATTTAGAAGAAACCACGTGTATAATTAGATCTATTCGGGTGTATGCTAAACAGAAGGAAGGGAAGCAAGCCTCAGCGGGTTGGAAATTTCTTGAAGGATCAAGGTCCTTAATAAGTAAGGCCTACGAAATAAAAAGATGATTTCTTCCACATGCATAGATTAGATGAAGTGTCTAGGACCATTTAAAACATCATTTGCTTCTGGCATTTAGGTCTAGGTAACAAGTCTGAGAAGACTATGTTAAAATTGAACAGCGTTGATTCGACTGACTAAATCAAACTGCACCGCTATTTCTTCCATCCCTTCATAGTTCCGAAGAAAGATCCTGGAGCGTGCCACTTTCATAAATATCTTCTGAATCATTGGCCAGGATAGCTCTTAATGAGCTATATTTCACACAAATATGATGAATGACCTAGTCCAAGGGCTTTTTCAGTTGTCTGTCGCTATTTGGGGATAATGTTCCATGTCAGTGTAAAACGAATTTTGTTTTGTCGCAGCTTGGATTAGCACTTCTTAATACAGATGACCATCATTCCTGTCAACTTTGCACTCATTAGTTCGATAAGAAAAGTTGAGTAAATACATGCCGGTCCAAAAACTTACTTGCGTGTACTGAGATATTTGATTTAGGCAACCATCTAGGCTGTACAGGAGTACATAAGTTCTGAGAAGCTATTTGTAAATACGGCCGCTTATATTGGATTAGTGAATGCTAGAAGTCTTAGTGGCATTACGTTTTCAACAATTGACTGTTTTTGACTAAACTTATATGCCTTCTCTGGTCATATCACGAGACGCGTTTGGTTTATGCCCAACTTAGTGAAGTTCGGCCATCGTAATACACTCTAAAATGCAAGCTGACATGCACAGAAGAACAGGAGGGACATTTAATCCAATACAGCCCCATGCCTTAGTGGAATTACTTTCAAGTCTTGACACAGACGTGGATTTATGAGAATAACCCCAGCCAAAACCAAATTGTGCCGTTGAATTTCTTTCGTTATCGAAAATTGAATTAAAATTGACATCCTTAAACTCAGTGAATTTTCCGGTTCTGTGTAGTCAGCGGCTGGATGCTTATTGGACCATATCCAATTGCTCATTTGGTGACGTTCAATGGACTATACGTCCCGATTCCAAGGACAGTTCCTGCCACCTACTTGTTGGCCAAGGACTGGGTTACAAATGCGATGAAAATCGTGCAGTCCGTTGGGGCGATAACTTGGAGGACAAGAGTATACTTTGGGGAAATCAGCTTAAGCGTTGGTCACGATGGGAAGGTAAGCATTCCATTCCACTGTTCACTTGTCTTTGTTAACTGATAGTAATTCCCTTAAATGTCCATCTCGACTTGTGGGCTCAGCCGAAAGGCTTTTAGTGCTGAAAGTTCCATGTACGTTGTTTTGGGAATTTTTAAATTTCCTTGTTAATCACTCATCAGTCTGTTGGAGCATGAGGTTTTCTCCTATAGTTCTCGTACTACCTCTTAATAAAACTGGTGGTGTGACTGCGGCTGCATAACGGGAACCTCTGTCGCCGAGATACCCCACAACCAACGCACTGTACGGCGTTCGTTATTCATAGAGTCACTCATTAACGTCACCATTGTCTATCGTCATTCGTGGGCTTGCGTAAGCAGTATCTAATAGGCACCCACCGCTACACCCCAAAATTTCCGTCAATTAAACAAGGTTTTTTTTCATCACGGAGAACACATGTTTAGAGGTACGTTATCGAGCCACCTCCTACACTTTACTGGTCGGATTGTTCAGTTTAAGCTGCCACCAATATATCACCCCTTTGTGCGTCGGTAGAAGGCGATTAGACCTTGGCTGTGCTTATGAACGTTTGAAATCACACTTGGTAACGACATTTAGGCCCAATTATTACTTGGGTGACAGCGAATTAAGCTATGTGAGTGACCAAAATTATTCTCGAACATATTAAATCGGCCGTTTTACTATTGTGCGACGAGATAGCAATAGAAGTTTATGAGAGAAAAATTGATCGGTATAAAAACTTAACGAACTCGGTGGTCACGCGGACGGAAAAGGCATGAGCTGTGATAACCCAAGGCACGATAACAATCCACCAGGTGGCTTTTGGTAGTACGAATATATATTGAACAGTAATTATCATTCTCAAGAGATAGGCTTCGGAGGCCTTCAACTGTTAAATGCCCAGACGCTTGGTTAAACAACGTCTAGCCCATCGGGTTAAAGCGAGTTGATCATCTTCCAACAATTTCCAAAATTCGTGATACCCTAAAAATGAGCTGCCATGATTCTAAAGTGGTAACAGGACGGTTTAGTTTGACGCGAGAATCCTTCGTTGCAGTTCAAACCGATTTTGGCCTGGTGAAATAAGCTCAACCATATCCACATACCCACAATGTCGCTTTTTGTACCCACTCGGCTGATATCCCTGGCCATGACTGAGAGCAGCCGACCCAGAGTGATTTCACGTTACTTTCAGCAAACACCAGCTTCAGTTCAACGGCACCTGCGATACGATCTTGAAAGAATAAGTAACCTTATCGCAGATCATCAATAAATACGTTTTTAAATGTACTGTTTAGGAGAACTTAGGCATAAGGTGTGCAATATGTGAGCGTCTGTTGGGCAACACCATGATCCGATGAAAATTTCCATGTCTATAGAGCTGTGTTACGTAAGTGCGCACTTGGTAAAATCATTCTATAAATTCTGTGTGGCAGAGTACTTGCAGGCAGATATGTGAAAACCATACCTCCAGAATGGCTTTGCAGATTCAGGCATATTCCTCCCTCTACTAGGAAACTGTAGGTCAAATCAGATAAAAGCTATTTTGCATCTGATGAAACCACCTGAACATATTGCAGTAAACTCCAAAAATTAAAAGTCGAAGCCATGATAGTAGTTTGAAGCACTTTGAAATGACATTTTTCATGTTTTTCAGCTAAACCGAAATACATGTTTTATCCTAACGTAATTGGACGACAGCAGCCAGTAATCTGTGCTTAGAAATCATATGGGTCTTCTACAAGTTAAAACATGACTACATGAGAGAACTGGTCTACAGCAAGCGAGACCCATACTGCGAAAACTGGTTTTACGAGGTGGTCTGTGGGTAAAGTCGTATCGTAGGACAGGAACGATATGAGCTTCCTCCAGGTGACCAGCATGTCCATATTTACGGAAGCAATGGTGCTGCCTTTTTCTGGAAAACGGCGCGTCAGAAGACACTGGCCCGATCACCCGAAGGGTAATGAGAGAACTGGTCTACAGCAAGCGAGACCCATACTGCGAAAACTGGTTTTACGAGGTGGTCTGTGGGTAAAGTCGTATCGTAGGACAGGAAACGATATGAGTTCCTCCAGGTGACCAGCATGTCCATATTTACGGAAGCAATGGTGCTGCCTTTTTCTGGAAAACGGCGCGTCAGAAGACACTGGCCCGATCACCCGAAGGGTAACCGTTTCAGCTGAGGTATTTGTCAATACGGCCGAAATGGCCTCCAGAAGGAAAAGTCTGGTATTTCTCGGAAGGCACTGCTGTGCGCAACGGCATTAGGCATAAGACACTTATGCCTTTCTTCCTGTGTCTCCAGGCCAGTTCAGCCCCTTGCAGACTATTGACCCATTGGATCCGAACAGTGTTCCCCGAGAAACCCTGACGAAATCTGTCTAATGACTCGGATTTTTTTTGTCACAGGCAAAAGACTGGGTCCCCAAACGAAAGCCAACATCATCTCACTGCTGTGTGAGTTAGAACATAGTCCAAGTACATAGACCAAAATTTCCTCGCTGATCTGGACAAACAGCAATTATCATCCGCCCTTACAGATCTTCGTTCAATAACTAAGCCCCACACGTCCCTCACCAAAATCCCTTTGATTCGTTAAGCTTTCAAATCCCTGACCAATATTCCATATATAAACTTCTGCCCGGTGAAATAAACCAAGACAAACCTTTACAAAATTCAAACGACCTAATCCACGTGGCGACTTCTAAAGTCTGCTCTCTGCATCAAACTAGGCAACTGGTAGCCCTTTATGAGGCCTTGTTCGCTCCCTCGATCGATGTATGCTATGGCTCCGAAACAAGCATGCAAGACTCCAGTTTGGTCATACATCTCAAAGCGCTCGGTAGGAATCCAAATTTCTCGCGATTCACTCTTCAGGTATCTGGTGATCCTGATCTAGTCGCTCCTGGAATCTACATGGTGGGAGGTGTGCTCGGCCTCAACTTACCACACCCGGTTCCAGTAGACAGTATTCTTTTCCCCATTAGGTCAACTGATCAAATCAAGGGTAAAGCATCCTAACGTTGTAAGCATTGTTCGTCTGTTGTTTCAGTATACGGTCCGTCATGCAGCAGCTCTGAGGCTGGGGAAGACAGCTTCTCTCAAGATTTGCCACGTTTGCTTCGGTCTGCAATAAGTAGAGATGTAGTGATTCTGAAAGGTTATATGGACGCTCAAGTTGGCTGGCTAAGACCAGATGGACCTCGTCTTGGCGTCTGATTCGTGGTTGACGCTCACCATATAGACAGTAAGGAACGACCTCCTTAAGTGTTGAACACCATTTGTTTCTAGCCAGCACAAACTTTCGACGCAAGCATCCACAATGTGTGACTTGGAGGTCATCAACGGTAAACCGGCCATGGACTTGCTCGGAACACGTGGCAATCAGTTACCGATGGAGAGCTATGATTCAAGATTATCGTTCATCTTTAACCATACCGCTTGACGCTGATCACTGCATTGTGCGTGCACGTTCCCTTTCCCTCTGGAACACGCCACTTGATGAAAAGCCATCCAGTTCGCCACCCGCAGAGCGTCTCAATAGTCCAACACTATCAAGTTGAGTTGGCTGAGTTCACCGTCGTGATTTGGATTACAATTGAAGAAAGATTAAATATGCTATTCTCATCACACCTGAAACCGTCTGTCCATAAACACTGGATGTCGTCACGATCTGAGTGCGATCTGTACCAGCAACAAAAGACCATGGTGACACCCAGATCCATCAAAATCCAAATAATGGAGAGCATAAGGGGCTTGTGGATGGCGAAAGTCCGGGAAATGGAGGAGGTCTCTGCAGCGTGAAACAATCACACCCTATTCCAGCTATTCCGATCAACTGCTCGGAGCAGGTTGGGTGGTAAGTGAAACGGTTTCGGAAAAGGTTGGATATTTAATCCATTGACAGAATCGTTTTGATCGAGGAACTGTACAATTTAAAGAACATTTCAGCTGGTCCTCATCAATTCAGTCTCTGAAAAGGCTAAATGAACCCGAGTGCGTTGCAGATACCAACCCAGCATCGTCGACAGAAGTCCAGCGTGTGATTTCATTGCTTCGGTGCGACAGGTCACTGAATCAGAAACTTTTCACCCTGCACTCTCCAAAAGTGACGAGTCTGTTTTGGCTGACCTAACGACCCTAACAAAAATATCTAGATCAAAAACTTCCAACAGAAATGAGCGCCCCGATTGTGGTTCCCATATTCAAAAACAACGCAAGCACATAGTGTGGAAACCACCGGGGCATCGGTCCAGTGGCTACAGATTCCGAAGTATTCTCATGGAGTATCCTGTACAGGTTGATCCGTCATAGAGGAAGCCAGGTCTGCTGGACACATTTGTGGCTTTACTCTTACGGAGGTCGCATTGGTGTTGTTTTTACATTGCAGTTAATGTTAGAACCTCACCACTTCTTCCAACGACCAACAGTGGTAGCATCTCGCGATCTCCGATGATAGTTAGAACCTGTGATAGTGTCTGGTTTTGAAGGGTATTCCTTCTAAATTGTTGTCTTCTATACAAGCTTTATGCGCCTCCTCACACTGACGCGTACGTGTTTACGGCGAACTCTCTCCTGACTTCACTACATCCATGGGTGCCAGGCAAGGATGAACTCTGTCACCTTTTCTCCTCAGCTTCGTGATCTGTATCCCACTTGAGTCTTCTTTACATCTTACTAACACTACCAAGGCGTTCGCACACGAAACTTGAGTACACCAACGTTACTGCACTCCTTGGATCAGACTCTCCAGAAATGCAGACGCTTTTAAATAGCCTAAATAGCTCTGCTGCATGGTGCATTCAACTGCGTTCGATAATGGATTATAATGGTTATCCCAAGTCTCTGAGGGCAACACGAAAACTACTTTAAGGTCAGAGAAATTACCAGTTCACATGATTTTGGTAAGCTAATAAATCAATCATCTCTTGATGACGATAGGAATTTCACCAACTTCGATTTTGTTCCTCTGTATGCCAGTGTTCTCATTGTTGATGGATTGTGATACATAATGCGCTTTCAAGAGAAAGAAATAACACCGAACAGTTGCACTTCCATCGCTGTAGAAGATGTTATAAAAGATATGGAATTATTTTTACGATCCACTGCATTTACTTTCAAAGTTTATAATTACCAAACGATTTGTGACGATGCTATGTGTTCGCCTGTTGTAACACATTGAGCGGCTTATTCAATTCCCCGAGCATCTGTCTTACACATCTAAGACACATTGGTTATGTTAGGGAATCAGTTTTTATCATAGGTAATCAACTGGCATATTTTCACTTGTTTCACTATAGAACATGAGTCCCTTACAGAACTATCACTATTCTTGATGCAGCGCCTCCACTTAAACCATTATCACTTTGTAACTTGAGCCGACAGCACAATCAGATGGGTAACTAAACTTCAGCACCACCCTCTGTAGAACGAGTAGTAATTCGCCTGCTGGTTGGGTAACCAACACAACTAATCAGCCATAGGCATGTACCATTCAACACAGATGTACCGGCCAACCCGAAGTTTGAGGCGAGTCACATCCGTTGCATAATCCCCAGCTTCGTTATCTGCACTGGTTTCCAAAAGAGCAATTGATTCGTACGAAAGTTCGCTTGATCCTAGTGATAGTATCAACAATGCCTATGAGCTTGCTCTCACCGTTGGTAACCGTGTTCACAATGGGTACGTGAATAGATTAGTGAAGGTCTTCATCAGTGAATATCACCGACACTCTCAGGAGTAGCCTCAGGAAAGTGGAGTGAATCTAACAGACTAGAGAGTGACCCAGGATTCTTTCTTGTATGGATTAGCTGGAAATCACTGGGTCAAATTAGTTAACGTGCGCATCCCTCGCCAAAATTCCAATGTGCATGCACAGAAGTGCTGGGTTGAATTGATGACCATCCACAGAACTCCTTCATCCGGTAGTAGGTCTGAAAAAGTTATCGACCATCTGGTTCGGACTGATTAATCATACAAATGACTCACTCACAACAGGTCGCACGTGACATGGCAATTCAACACGCAGTGTGATAGCTGCCAGGCCCACACAACCTTCACACCAATCACAGCACGCACAGCGTTTACCAGTCTTTGGCTGGCCGCACTGGTAATATTCAAAATGTCACGTTTTTTAACAAGCAGATTGTAGTAAAAACGGAGAAGTTTACGGATGCTTTGCATAACTTTATACCTGGTGCATTTCCTACCTCCTCAGCCTGATTAGTAGCTCCACGTGAAGTGATCTGTCAACAAGCATATGACAAAGTATATTTTTCCGTAGCAGCTCTGCGGAATTCCTTTGGTCTAATATAAGCTCATCAGTCGTTCATCACCGTCGGTGTAGTTGAGTAATAACCCAAATGAATCAAACACGAATATTGGGTCTACACGATACTCACTCAAGATCAGATTCCTAACATGATCGTCAGTGATACTTTGCCAGGATAGCATTCAGCAGGAAGAAGTGCCAGCTGGTCTGGAGCTGACGTATTCTCATCGCGATCACGTCTGCATATCAGCCTCCCTCGACCCGGTTTCAGCGGTTTGTTAGGAAATTCCTCTTCAGGTGGTCACTTGCCAGTCGTTTTATGTAACAAACGGGCAAGCAGTCTTTTAATGTGCACTATAATGTTACTAATGTAATGGTCAACAGAAATGTCGTATTTTATTTCACTGTCTTCGGCCAGCTACCATGACAACATCAAAGGAATGTGTTGTTATTACGCTTCCCGTCCAGGGAACGACATATGTGGTGCTACTTGGGAGGGCGCATACTACCATAACAATAACTTGGATGAAATCTGAGAGGTGAAGATTAGGTAGATAGTAAAGTAAAGTTGCAGTCAAAGAGACCGACTTCTTAACACATAGAATTTAATGGCACAGAAAACGAATTTGGAAAAAACATATTTGCAGGGTAACTACTCAAAAGGTTGCTGAAAGCTCTTCGACAGCCCACGACCGGTTTCGCCCTTCTTCGGGCTCATCAGGTAGGCGTGGTCCCCGAGTTTCCGTCAACCTTATGTTCTGCTTGAACCTAAATTGAACCGTTTTCGAGAACTACACTCATTTGCAAATCAGTTTGGTTTTCGCGAGAGACTCAACTGAATCTCTCGTTTATGATATTCTTCAACCGAATATGCTGCACAAAGTCCTCATCATGTTTCATTTGGGTTCAGGTGGAACGTAAGATTGACGGAAACTCTGGTACTGTGCCTACCTGATGAGCCCCAAGAAGGGCGAAACCGGTCGTGGGCTGTCGAAGGGTTTTCAGAAACCTTGTGAGTAGTTTCCCTTATGGAAATATACTGCGAAATCTCGAATATCGTGCCAACTGAAACATGAGGCGGCCTGTGTGCAGCACATCCAGTTGTAGAATATCATAAACGAGAGATTCATTTGAGTCTCTCGTGGAAACCAAATTGATTTGCGAATGAGTATAGTTCTCGATATTCGCAAGGTGTTTGTTTTTTGTGAAAGCAGAAGCTGCTAGTCTAGAAAGTGAAGGCGTTAGAGAGGATTTCTCTACATTGAGGGTGTCAATAATATGAAAACGATTGTGTCGTCTGTGTTCTCCAACGTTCCAGAGAAACAAACCCGTTGAAGGTAAAACATTATCTGGACGACTGTGTTTTGAATTGGGAAAGAAGTTCATGTTTTCCTTTTTTCCGACAAACCTGCTTTACCGGCACGCTTGTGCTCGCCGCGTTAATGACCATATTTCAACGTGATTCCTCAGCAACATTTACGCTTACCACTTCCAGATTTCCTGTATTGTCAGCAGATTAGGTAAATGTCGTTTCATAGAATTCTTCTAGTAAGTGGTTTTCCTGTTTTCTCCCATGTCACCAAGACGTTTATCTGTTGCTTAGGTAATGCTACATACGGAAGAAACGTCCAGACCACAAGTACTTCCTTTATCGATCTCTCTATCTAATTGTACGCTGGTGGTCCGACGCATAGCAGACCGGATAACGGTTGTAGGAAGACATCTTCACCTGTCTGATGCTCTATTCGTCATCCAGTTTGACATCGGATTACAGCAAATTCAGTTTACGTTGGATGGCTACTGGCACGGTAGAACTCTTGGTCTACTCGGTGCCCACACGTTCGACCAGATTGACGAACTCAAGGGACTTCAGGGACAACCAACTCAGCCTGCAAATATGACCGCTTACAGTTGGTGCTATCAGCATCCTCCAGCAGACGAGATGTTTCCGCACAAATTTCGAGTTATTCAGGAAGTGAGCCTCGATTTTCTTATGAGGGATTTCATAAAGAATTAAAAGTTTTGAAATCAAACACACTCATCGTCGTCATCATCATCGACAGCATGACATCCGTGTTCAACGCCGATGCTTCGCTGTCGTATTTGTAATTCGATGCGTTCTCGATAAGTTTATTGATTTTCCACTGTGACAGGGTTGTTACAGTGTGTGTACAAATGAAATGTCCAGCACTTACGGAATAGTTTGATAAACCACACAGTGAAGTTTTGTAAATAATTTTTGTGGGCCTCATAACAAGATAGCAGTCTCGTGCTGTGTATAAGTGCTAACTCTAACAATTCAGTTTTCCTATTTGTACACGTTTTCTGATTTTAAGTAAAAAAGGACAAGCCTCGATATTTATTGTGTCCATTGGTTTGCCATCCGCTTCTGAAGCGATCGCGTAAGAGCTGCTGAGAAACGCGACTCATCAGTATATAATCAGTTGACCACACTAATCATCATCACCAAGTCATTCGAAAGAGTGGCCACTGAAGATGTATGTACCTGTAATTTCCTCGAGATGTGCAAACTAAGCTAGCTTGAAGTTGCCCTAGTCATCTCAGTTTATAACATCAAGAATGTTGGATGGACACTGTTTGCGCCAGCTTTGACCTATGTGTGCCTTAAAAACCATATTTTCAACTAGTAATATGGAAATTTTGGGAAAGGATGCATCCAAACATCTGCAATATTTTACAATTTGACCTGATCGGGTTTATCACTTGAAAGAATTTAGATGACTTGCAGGTCCTTGAATCTGTGTAGATACAAATTCCGAACCATATACTGGTGGAAGCCAAGTTGTGGTAGCCTGGTACACTTGACCGCACTGACTAATGATTTTGAAATCATGAGTAGCTATTGCGATAATAAATGAAACAGGATGACCTGATGTTTCGGCAAAGGTCAATGGATTATTTTGGTCCCGCGAACGGCCCCTGTTCACTTCGTGATGGTAGCGAAGAATCCACGGCAGCGCATTGCAACCCCCCACTGCTTTAACGGCAGGACGTTTAACTGTATCCATCATAGTGTGGGCTCAGTTTTCAAGAATGAGTTCGCGAAACGTTGTTTAAGGATCGATAATCAATTACTGCCTTCGGATTTCCTTCGCTCAAACCATCCCCAATACGGCTGCGCATCAGCCCATTGCGCAGCGGAATAATCATGTGAAACAGTGCCGTGCGATTAAGCCCCCATGTCTGAATCACGTCCGATTTCATCATGTGCCGGAGAAAGGTCAAAAAGGGACACATGAAGTTCACGCCCACCCCATGGCCAAGGCACCCCGTACACAATCCCACAGACGGCTACCTAGGATTAACCGAGACAAAGGAACAACCGCCCGGGAACCGATGTGGGTGTGCAGGAGACACTGGCTGCTTGAGAGCAGATTGACCATCAAATGCGGTCACAAGCGAATCATATAAATAGAAAGTTGTAATTTCATTAAGAGTTTTTCCGGCCGCCTTCTTGTCTTCTGACTATTACCCCGTAGCGTCACGGAAGTTGAAGAGATCCAACAATCCCACGTTACTGGGCTTGTATACGCCAGATTTGTGACTGGCATACCTTGTCTAACTGGGCGAATTTAGCGCTTGTACATGATAATGAGTCTTCTTTGGGCAAAGCACAGAACAGCAAGTGCGATGAAATTTCGATTGCCGGTTCAAATAGTCTATAGTAAAAAGTCCTGAAAATGCAAGTCCTCGGTTTAGTCTGAGTGACTAACAATCTTTGAATTCCAAAGAAACATTAATGTTAGAATTATTGAATCTTGGGTATACTGATTATCAACAGCAGTGTGGACCTTTGTGCTGTTGGCCGCTTTTGTGGTCGTAAATTGAATTTCGTTCTTTTTCATGGTGGGTGACAAACCAAAATACATCACACCCCGTGGAGATTAGCCTGAGTGAAATGAGGCCACTCTAACTGCAGTGCACACCACATAGATACATTTAAGCACGTGGTCCCCTAAGACGGGTTTACATCATACTGTCTCTCATAGGGGACCAACCATTTCCTAGCAAGCTAATTATTTGACATTTACAGCGCGATCACCGTAATAAAAGCAATTGATTTTTGGTAAATGTTCTTTACAACCTCACGTATGCTGCTTGGGATGATGATGTGGGGACTAATTGGTCTCCATAGAGCGCAAGTTAATTCTGAACGCCTAAGAACGGTAGACAAAAGCACCATTGAGGTGACCAGTCGGAAGTCAGCGGGTTCGGGTATGGTGACGCCAAGAGTATATATAAGCAAATGGCCACCAGCTGAGGGACGGTTGACAGAGAGTCGGCCTAATGCATGGCTAAAACTAGAAAGCCCCACCATTTTTGCTGACCAAATTAAACCGAATCTTTCTAGTAATTTGTTCAACGTATTTAATCTATTTTAGTTACTGGATAAACAGTTGGACAACTCTACTGAGATCACAAATAAACTATGTCTTCAATACTTAAACAAACTTTCTTCATGCTACGACAAAGTCCCTGTCTATCCCTGGTATAAGGCATGCCGTACGTTTGTACACCACCAAAATTTACCGTCAAACTTGGTAGAAGAAACAGAAGGAGCTCCGCAGGATAAGACGTCAACTGGTGAGCAGAGCAGGCATGAGCATGTATGTCGCATTGTTCGATCGTTCGTTCAACTGTGCAATCAGAAGCAAGTGGCCGTTCGCGTGCCGCCAGAATGTGGTGAGTTTAAAGCGTCGCAAAACTCATTTTCTTTTACCCACGTTTTTTACTTTAAATGAAATGTTAGTAACATTCCCCTCAACGATAAACAATAGATAGTGGTTACGGTTAGGAGTTCAGTCAATTAAGAGTGTACTTGGTCAAAGTTCGATTCCGATTACCATTAGCAGGGATTTAGAAGTCCTCAACCATCTAGAGGTCACTTCACACATTAAGACAGCTGTATAGAGGTGCAAAATACCTAGCAGTTGGCTGCTGTGTCTTTTAACTTCTCCAATGCCAGAGCACTACTGGCTATCAGCCGCGGTATTGGGCCAAACCGATTTCTGGATGGAATACAAATTAAAACTGAAAGCACGTAGGAAATACACTGGACTTGCCTAGGCCGGTTGAATTGGGACGAACATCAGCTTACTTGCTGGGACAGGTCGGTCTGACCAGAAACGTAGTCCAACTGGTGGATGGATGCCACTAAAAATTATGCCATAAAGGAGCAGGATAACGGGATTTATTATCTCGTAATCTTTTTAAGGCGGAATGCAGAAGTGTGGGCGATGGAACTAGCAGGATTTAGATCACACATTGCTTACTTGATCCCCACGAATTGATTTAATGTTGAAACATAGTCGTCGGACTATAATCACGTGTACAAATAAAAAATTCAGCTGTCCGTCTGACAAGTTACCTGTCCTTTGATATCATGTTACAGTTATCTGCGACAGTTCGTTGAAGGCTGACGGCCTTAGTCAGGTGACGTTTTCCGAGACCCCAGCCCGACGTGGTCACGTATTATTTGTTCTCCAAATGCACCAGTGTCTGGTTGAGCGCCGCGATGAAATAGCCAATCTCATATGGGCACTGGAACGCGGTAAATTTTCTCATACTTTTGTGCTTTGTCATGCTAACTTTCACAGCTAGTCAAGTTACTAGTTTATTGAGGATATTGATTCAGGCAAGAGTTTTCTGGTAGGTTAGGAAATAGTCGAAGGTAGTTCGGAATATTATGCATGTGGGCTTCTTAGTGCGCATCAATAGCCAGGAACAAGTATTTCTAAGTGGTAATTCACCAAGGCGGTAAGCACTGACAACAAATTGACCGGATGCACATGTTCATGTATGTGTTCGCAGTGTTTCTTCGAATGGTGCACACTTTCGGCACTGGCCAAGATGACGCCTTGCTTGGAAAAGTACTCCTTTATGAAGCAAAAGCTTTCCAATTATGAGGTCCTCCGCACAGTCTTGATTACTGTGGATATAAAAATAGGCTAAATCAGCCACACTGATCTATATGGCGTAGTTGCGACGATAGCCGAAACCCAGTAGAACTGAATCGAAGGTATTTTGCACGTATTTTGTCGATTCTTGCTTTGGATGATGTTTACAAAAGCCCATTCTATTACATACTATATTTCGTACATGTAATTTATGTATGATGACGTATAATTATATATAATACAATGTACCCATAACCTCAATACATAACAGCGTGCACCCATAATATCATAAGCTGCTAACTGTCTCTCATATCATTCTTCGGGTGCTTGTATAGCAAGTCCTTTGGAGTACAACCCCATGTTATCAGTAGTATATGGTCCAATTAAATGTGGCTGGCTATGAATCAAGATGCATCTTGGTCTGTTTATTCAGATTATATATATAAAAAATCGTTCAGCTGTAACACCCTTTTGGTGCCTAGTTGCCATGCCACCCGAAGGAAGCACGAGGGCTGGGATACTGCCAGGCTGCCCAAGCCTAGACAGAGAAAATCGAGAGGCAGAGGTTTGGTTTGAACCACGGACGTTCCAGTCAGTAAAATCGCGCTCTAACCACTTGAGCCATCTCGACGCCGGAATATGTCACTTCATGTGACAATAGTGACGAAATATCCACCTGAACCTTTGTTGCTTTTCTCTGGAATATTAAAATTCTTCATCAATAAATATTCCTCTCCAAAATTCCCTTCAAAACTGTCATTGCCGAGTAGGGTATAGAATTAATAGGTAGTTTGTTAACAAACTAGTAACCACTTTGTTGAAATTAATCACCATCCACCGCGGGAAACAGGCACTAACCAGCCGAACCGAAACAAAACGGTTCCGAAGGTATGCCTGCAGTACCATTAACGCCATTGCAAAATATATGTAAATTAAATTTGAAACTTTTATTAACATTTGTCTATTGAATATTCTGACATGCTCTTTCAATCATCCGAGACGTCTTTACTCCAATTTGCTGGTCACATTAGCCGTTACACAACACCAACCTTATGTTAACTCCGTTTAACTCCAGAACGACAAGAACTTGGTTCTGGCGCACTTAAAGGTAGGCACACAACTGAATTTCATAACGGAAAAAATCATTGCAACTGTTGACGAAACATCAGTTAAAGTTCGTTCAGACAAGCTCTAAAACGGTCAGTTTTGAGAAAATAGTACAACTCTGGGTAGAAATTATTTTCTCAATTATAATGCTACAAGGAAAATGCACTTCGACTCACTAACAAAACTTCCTCTGGGCTGCGTGCATAAAGGAAACTGACGGGAGCTTTACATACCTTATTTTCGAGTCTCCGAAATCTGGATAAGTGAGAAGCAAGTAATGAAACTGGTACCTTGTTCTCGTCCACAAAAACTGAGGTGAACAGTGCATAAACGATCGTTATGCAATACACAGCACCTCCGAAAATGCCTTCGGACAACGCGAAAACAATTTCTGACCCATCGATTAATTCTGTTTTCGGTCCATGAAAGGGAACGCCTAGTGGTTGAACCGCAATTCCGGTAATACTAATGGGGGCATTAAACACACCACATGTTGATTAATGTACAAACGAAAGCTAAGGAGATTAGGATCCGGTCATTTCACAAACCATCTTGTTGAACACTGGACCTTTCTGCGAAGCGAGACTCATCGTTTTCACAGGTGTCCAAATTGCCATTGATACAGGGTCGGAGAGGTTGCTTTATTAAAGTTTCTCTATCCGCATAGATTTTGTCACTGCTTTGTACAGGAGACCTTAAAATTAGGAAATGATTGTACTGAAAGTTTAACTGGGTGAAGAAGTTGGTAGGCGACTCACAGTAACTCTCCCAGCAGCTTTTAACACCCCGGCGAAGTGATCAGTAATGAGATAATAAGGCGATGAGTCAACAAAGCAGGATAGTGGAACAATAAGTTATGAGGCGAATCGTTTCCCTCTTGCTGGTGAATCCAATCTATGGCAAAGGTTCCCCACCATACCACTGAAACGGTGTAAGAATCAGAAAAATGTCTACTCATAGCACTAAAGACCAGAGGTATAGGAAATTTGTGATATCACCTGTGCCGTATCTAAGCTATGTTCGAGTTTTGGTTATACGCCTGACATCAGATTTCACCTAAAACAAACTTTTGGAAGTATGAGTAGGTCCTGAGAATCCAGTTTCATTCAACAAGTGAGGCCACCTTACGCTAAAAATTTGAGGATTACCCCAAAGTTTTTCCATGAATTTTTAGCATGGCCAACGGTGCACACTCTAGCAATGTTGTGAAATGTGGGTAGCTCGGGTGCTGTTGGTTGTTGGTCTGTTTGCCGAGCTTAGCAGTTGGATTGAAGTTTCGTCCCAATCGGGGTGACATCATCAGTGCAGGGTTGAGTTGGTCATCTTACCGAGTCCACAGTAACAGAAACAAGCAACTGGGAACAAGCGGCTGATCAGAAGCGCCATTAGATCGTACATAGACAAGACACAATGTCACTCACCTTGTAGTTACATGATTTACACGAAGTGTTCGAGTTCCGACTGGCTTATTAAATAAGAAACTCATGCGCTTTTCGATATTTCCTCTTTTCTGATCGAAATATCCGTCACACTTTTAAATTACATGTATTCGGAAACAGTGACCTATGGCATCATGTCTAACCATTACGCAGATGCTGCAGATTCATATTCTGGCTCCCGTATGGCCAATTTCAAACGCAGACTTTCTCGAAGAGCTATCCAATCGAAAAATCTTGCTAAAAGTTTTGAAGAAACTGCTTGTTAGAGAAAGAACTCGTTTCAACCTGTAGGCATATTGGTTTGCACTTTTCTATTACACTTCTATTTATTCGTTTGTTATAAATATCTATCGGTATATTTGACAAAACGACAAGATTTAGAAACCGTCAATCCTAACATCAACTTTGTTCATTTTTTTCAGACCCGACCAAAGATATGGAGTACTCTGCCGTCCTGTTTGATGGGCCGGTTGATATCGGTGACATTACCTGGCTAACCTCAGCCAGTGGCACATTAATAAACATGACGGGGTCAACTTTCCTACGTACTTTAGATTCTGTACTGGAAAGTTTTCGTGAGAACGCGTCAAAATGGACGGTAGTGAACAAGCCTGTCCTGGATGTTGTATTGAATGCACTACATGGTCCTTCGTCTGCCGGAGCAGTGCATATGGCACTTTTGCTCTATTTGTGCGAAGAGTAGGTGGAGATACGTAGGAATCGTGTTGGCCCTTTTTCGAGCAGTAGGAAGAGTTCCAGCTTCCAAAGACTATTAAGACTATTATTGTTTTTATCCTACTGGTTGTTTCGTTGGTATCCATTGTGACTACTTCCGTATAGTCTGTCCACTTTAATGACTGCATTCAGCTGCACTAGCTTGTAGTAAGGCTTGTATTGTGTAATGTCAACTTTTAAATAACATACGTCGTTTCTCACGAGGTCATCTATTGTGATGGCAACTTTTGACTGATAAACACAGTTGTAAACAAGATATACGGCTAAAATCTCTGTATAACGGTAGATTAAGTTTTCGAGCAGGTGATGTTGCGCGGGAATTTTCGTCACTCAGGTGGGTTAATTGGGGACTGGTGGTAGGTCGACCAAGACATGGTCCACGGTTTTACCTGGTGCTATTTATGACAGAAATATTTGGTGCATTCTCATGTTCATCCCCTCTGCTGTGCAGCGTTCCTGATGGTCCTGGAAGAATTCGTATTAACTATTTTTTGGACACACTGGCTGACCTCACTTTCTCCCTTGTGTTTGGCACTCAGAAATTCTTTTATGTACGTATCAGGTCTTCGGAACGAAATAGTTTGCGAATATGCGCAAAATAATTGATGTACCATCATGAAGTGGTCACGGACCGGTACTTTAAACATTGTCTGTGATGAGCATCCCATCACGGCTCTAGCAGGCATATGACTTAATTCGAACAGAAATGGACGAACGACTTACGTTGGCAATCGACTTGTACATTGACTAGTCAATAAAATTACGAGCGAGTCCTTCAGCATGGTGTATAGGAGGCTGTCAGATCATTCCAGTTCCCTCGGGAACAGCAGAGACTGTGAACAAACGAAAATATAAGTCTATCATATGTGGTCACGTAAAGGAATTGACCCTGCCTTGGCTGACAAAAGTGTTCCAAATCAAATCTGAGTGGATGGTTTAAGCACCTCTTTCGTCGCTGCATGCATAAACACCTAATTTGCTGTTGTGTACTTTAATGATAAATGCACTTTTCACTCTGGAGCCAAACTAGAACAACTTTTTAAGATGCCAGATATTATACGAAACCACTGAACCATTTATTGCACACAAATTTCCCAGTTATAATAACAGGGCATTACTTCCAAGTAGGAGTACACAATTATTATCCAATTTACATAGGTGCTTGTCCAACAGATCACTCAATAGGGAAGTTGCTTGCTTTCGACCGAGCGACCTTAGTTCTCAAGTTTCCGGATATTTTGATTACTCCTATCTGGGCTCGAACATCCGGTCTTATGCAAGTTTTCGTGCATCCTTCTGATGTCACGTCAGCTCTACGCTGAAAGGGTTCCAACGATGAGCAGCGTTTTGGTCCGAAGGAACTAATCTTATCTTTACCTAGATGAGATAATGCATACATGCACTCGGTCAATTATAATCTGTCATTTTACGAAGCTTACTACGAAGCTTGACTATTAAGTAATACTAGTCAACTAATCAATCAAGGGTCAGTTTATAATGCTAACCGCACCCACAAAAGATCCTACCAAATACTCGCTGAGCCAGCACGGTGGAACAGTATTCAACTGAATGTTCACTTTACGTTTATCGAAAATTATGGAGGGTTTCATATCATGACCAGCGATTTTTAAATATGTTCTAAGAAAGCGAACTTGGTTGACATGCTTAGGTGGTTCAGTAGTGTGCCAAACGGAAGTAATCAAATGACAGCTGAGATATCACTAACAGACGTTCACATTAAAAACGAAGTCAACATTGTCTTTTTAATTGCAGATCGTTGCAATAAAACTTGTGATTAGCTATTACGGGCTACTGCTAGCAACATCAGGTGAAATTCAACGAGAAGGATAAAAGTACTCTTGTTGATAGACAATCTCACTTCTGCACAGACAAACCAGCCATAAGTGGATATGTTAAACGAAATAATTGGTCGTTCTGGCTGATGTTACAACCAATAATCCTGTCAAGGAGGGCTATATCAACAAGGGGGATACTGAAAGGTTATTCAGTGTCTGGGTTGTCTGCTCAGCATGAACCAGAATGTACCTAGTGAGTGTCAGGGGCAACCCAAAGGTCAGAACTTTTATTAGTGCTGACAACATTAGAATCCTACCCACCAACCTCTAGATGCCATGAACATATACTCTATACTTCGGAACTGAATATCATAATGACCGATGAAGAGAAAATCGACACTATCAATTTTTTATAGGGATGAACAAAACGACTCATCAAGTATTACTTCAGCAGTAATATAAATGTATGTATAAGGGGAAGTCCTCTAACACCAAAAACACTTGTATAGAATATTTTTTAATATTAGGTTTGTCGTGGTAAAAATGTGACTTCTTTCCTAGCTCACCAGACAAACGTAATCTAGAACGTGTGATGACATCTCATTTGTCTCTGTCTAAAATTTCTGAAGCTTTGTTTTGATACTAGTTGGAAAATTATGGAACTGTCCGTCTTTTACCCGCCGCAAATCCTTAGCCTAGGTAGAATTGGATATTCTCAAGTCAGTGTTTGAAGCATACAAGTGTAAACCATAAGTTACAGGAAGTTTCAGGAATATTGGTTAAAGTAACCAAAAATTAGATAATCCTAGTGGACCGTCCCAAATGAGTTTTCTACGACGTGTTCCAACCATCTAACCACACAACATCCACGATCGATTTGCTATGCTTAAGTGACCAAACCTTCCTCTATTATTGTAAATAAATAGCCACCAGCACTCTATTTTGGCTTAATCTGACACCACTGTGTGCTCGGCTTGATAACACCTAGTATATGTTGTGAAACTGGATGATTTCAGAAGTTTGACGAATTTTCACAACATAGCCATGAATGCCGACTAGTGTTCCCAATCTGTTCACTCTAGAGGTTTCTGTGGCTTTATATTCAAGCGTATTGACAGCGAACATAGGACAGTCGTCTTTATCAGATGAAGCACTTAGTGGACCCAAAAACCAGCACTTTTGGAGAAAATAGAATAGAACTAGATGGGTATTGTCCCTATCAATTCTAGTTGCATCCAGGTGGTACCTAAAGTTATGAAACTAAACAACTACATGTTTTCGGCTCATCTGGACATTTTTATAAGGAAAGAATAATTGACACTCTTGGTTTGTGAGCTTGGTATTGGATATTTGGCATTCGCAGCTTCCCTGAATATAGAGCCTGTGTTGAGCGTATTTTAGGAAAGACTATACGATGCGTGTGTGGTTTTGTAATTTAGAGTAGTTGTCATTGCATTACAGGCTTCTTTTGCGCTTTCATAATTGGAAGTGTATAAATTCAGAAATACAACGCACATTTTGATTTTCGTCCCTGTAGATGTACTGCAAGCAAATCATCGATGTACGGTCCCGTTCAACGAATGTTAGAAAGAAAAGGTATCGAATTTCACTACCTCCCACACACATCATTCAAAACAGCGAGTGGCTCTAGTGGGACAATTTTTCTGCTTCAAGGTGACGAGACGGTCCACGAGTTGACAGGATCCGCGGTGAGCAAACGTTCGAACATGGGGTCAGTCATGCCTCCACGAGACCAATGTACTATTATCGCACAAAAGCTAAATGGCTACATTTGGGCATACCGAGATGTGGTGAGTTCTGCCTAAGCTTGAGTTCAACCAAAAGTATACTTCCCAAATTGATTAAAAAACTATCATCTAGTGCCTATTAACCGTACTTTTGTCTAAGGTACTGGCCGAGTTACCTTCCGCGTTTACTGAAAACAGATAAGGACAAATTTCGACTGGACGTCTAAATTCCGTAAGATGGTTTGTGATTCAGTTGAAACGTTTGAAGGTGTAAGATTTTGTGCACAAATGCGATTTCTCTGAAAAATTTCGGAGATATATATGTTGGAACGCATACGCCAGAAAAGTAATATTAGTCGTTATTATATTATACATTATCATTAAAATTTATTTTTATTTTATATTTACT